AAACCAAATCCATAGGAGCCAAAATATGACTTTAATTTCGTCCCACCTGAATTTCAGAATCATTTCAGGAACAGGTTTGAGGCCTTGAACACTAATGAGCGAAGATCAGATGAGTTGTGGTGGGATGTTAAATGTATCATCCAGGAAGAGTGCAAATGGTCATTACACAGACAGAAGAGGAAGAAAAGACCAAAATGGATGTCAGAAGAAACTCTCAAGATTGCACTGGAATGTAGAGAAGCCAAAGCACACGGAAGGGTTCAAGACACTAAAGAGCTGAACAGAAGATTCCAAAAGGCAGCTCAGAATGGCAAAGCAAAATATTACAATGAAATATGCAGGGGCTAGAGTCAGAAAGTCAAAAGAGCCGAACTCGTTCAGCACTTTTTAAGCTCAAGGAACTGAAGAACAAATTCAAACCTAGAGTTGCTACAATCAAGGATGCTTTGGGCAGAATGTTAAATGATCCAGGAGGTATCAAAAGAAGATGGAAGGAATATACTGAGAGATCGTATAGAAAGGAATTGGCAGATACGAAAGAATTTAATGAAATAACATTTGAGCAAGAGCCTATGGTGATGAAGGCAGAAGTTCAAGCTGCTTTGAAGGAAATAGCAAAAAATAAGGGCCCCAGCATAGATGGTATACCAATTGACATATTTCAGCTAACAGATGCTGCCCTCTATATAGGTATCAATTATAAAACTATAGTTTTCTCCAGCCTGCAGGACTGGTTGCTTGACCTTGGAGTTTTCTGTGATCTCTGTTTATCAGAAGAGGAGATGCATCTCCTATATTAGCTGTTATCTCTTTGAAGCTGTTTTCCCCAATCATATGTAAATTATAACTTAATCTGCTTGTTTGCATGAAAAGGGAGTATCTGAGTGTGAATTATTTTCTTTCAGATATAGAAATTCTTTGTTTACTAACAAAGTTTATTGTTAAGTAAATTGGTGTCTCACCCTCCTATAAAAACCCATGACCACTCCCATATGGGGAGGTGACTCACTGTCTCCCAGATCTGTGTAATAAAGTGCTTATGGATATTGCAATCCATTTGTCTTATAGGCAACTGACCATGGAAAAAACCTCTTGTGTTCTGTAACATCAGAGTAGATCCAATAGCAACTTACAACAAGAAGAAGGAATGTAGAGTTTTATTAGCTCTCAAATAAAAGAAATTCAGATATATACACCCAAGGGTAGGTATTATAGAGTTCAGGTTATCTTGTTGCTTTTCTATTCTCAATAAGTGAGTGGTTTTTATTTTGGATCCAAGACACCCAAGAGGGTCTTCACCTCCAGCCATTAAATCCATAAAATAAGGCTGCAAGAGCTGGATCTCAGAGAGGGTCAAAAAATGTGGCTTAATCTGCAGGCAAAGCTGTATTCCTACAGACACAATTGTCCTCAGAGAACTGGGGGTGGTGGTGCTGTTTGTTGGTTTATTAAATTCATTCATTGTTGCACATTGTCTTCCCTCTTCAGAGAACTGTGAGGTGTGGATTTTAGCTGCAACTTGACAGCAAACTCTTGTTTGTTCTTACAGAGGATTCTACAGGGATGGAACATTGCCCACAAAGGGTCAAGATAAATTCTGTCTTTCTGGACACTCCTCACACTGGAGGAAGAACTGTAAAAAAAGAAACCAGCAGTAAAATAAAGTATCAATAACTCAATATTAAGACCCAATAACTGAAAAAAAAAATCCAAACCTTGAAGACCCATTATTACATTGATTGTTCATTATATTCTAAAAGGATTATCTGGAGTCATTCCTTCCAAAGTACCATGATGCTCCCTCTGAAGCAGAGTGGCCACTGGTCTCCTTTGCCAAAGACTAGGGGGTCTACCCTTAAGTCTTGCAATTGTCAATGATTTTGTTTTACTTGGACCCGCAATCAACATCCACAGTAGCAGCAGTGAACAAAGCAAAACACATGTTGCATTGAGTGAATCTGCTGCCAAGAACCTCTTTAAAGTGTTGATGAGCAAGGTTGTCTGCTAAAAGATCCAAGTGTGCTTGAACCAAGCCATGGTATTTTCAAATGCTTCATTTGCATGTGACAGCTGGACAATGAATAAGGAAGATGTTAGAAGAATTGTGCCTTAGAATTGTGGTGATGGTGAAGAATAATGAATATAACCACGGAGTGGCAAAAGAAGGAACAAATCTGTTTTGAAAGAAGTGAAGCCAAAGTGTCCCTTCAAAGCGAAAATGTTAAGATTACATATCGTGTTATCAGGAGGGCCCAGTCCTTGGAAAAGGACATCATGCTTAGAAGACTAGAGAGTGAGGAAAAGAGAAGACCCTCAATGAATGAGATGGATTGACACAGTGACTGTATCAAAGGGTTTAAACACAACAGAGATTGTGGAGCCATTGCAGGATCGGGCAAGGTTTTATTCTGTTGTACAAAAGGTCACTCTGAGTCGAGTTGACTCCACGGCACCTAATAACAATTGTAGAGAGCTCAAGTGGCTAATCATCATGTGAGATGGTCATCTTCAAGGGGACATGGACTGTTCACAGAGTGATGGTTAGCATCACACATTTTAAACAAATATCTGAAATACTTGAGGTTAAACCATTGTTGCTCGAGTGCCAGCTGGAAATTATGTTCTAAATGTACAGGAGGTTGGCACCTTTACCTCTGTGTTGCTTATGGGTTAAGAGCATATAAAAAGGGAGTTCTGGTGCTGCTGCCGCCGCCGAGACCACCATGGCAACTAGACTCACAGCCTTCCTGAAGAATGCCTGGGTCAAGGAGCCGGTGCTGGTCGTGTCCTTCACCATCGCCAGTCTTGCTGTAATTCTGCCCTCGTTAAGCCCCTACACCAAGTATGGCTCCATGATCAAAAAGATTACCCCCTACAGCTACCCAGTGCCCCTCCAAGATGATGGGAACATGCCTGACGTGCCCAGCCACCCCCAGTAACCCCAGGGTCCCAGCCTGGAGTGGCTGAAGAAACTGTGAGCACCTCTGAGGATGGGTCCCCACCTCCAGCCCCCAATAAAAACCTGAAAACAAGAAAAGAAAAAAAAGGGAGTTCTGGGGAGTTGTGCTGCTAATCCAAAGGCCACATCTCTCTGGTGTCGTTCAAATCCTCCAGCAGTTCTAAGGGACAAAGATGGGAAATCTTCTCCATTGTGATTTACAGTCTCAAATGGCAGGTCAGTTAGAGTCCGTTCCCACAAGCTGGCACTGATAGAGTATAGGCAAAAGCTCCTGTGAGCAAACCCTTAGCAATTTACAAAGACCTACTTAGATTTTCCTCTTTCCATAATTTAGGGAAAGGATGGACTGAAAAAAAATCATGGCCTATAAAACCTCAGGTCACAAGGAGATTAAAGCTATAGATTTGAACAGTCACCCTACAGAATTATTAGAACATAAAAAGCTCCTACAGAAAAACTCCCAGCCAGCAATCAGTCAGTTCAGCACTTCGAAACATCTTGGGTTATACAAGTAATAAACTAGAAATTGATTTTTAAATCTAAGACTATCCTTCCCACAAGGGCATGCCAACATTTGGTGAGTCAGGTTGTGAAAAATCCCAATATTTCCTACATATATTTACTTAAGGAGTTCTGGTGGCATAGTGTATGCCAAAAGGTCAGTGGTCCAAATCCACTCCAATGGGAGAAAGATGATGCATATTGTGTCCATTAAGACTCAAAGTCTAAAAATCCAACAGAGGATAACCAGATAGAGACTGTCTTGAAGGCACAAGGTCTGGTTTGGTTTTGGGTTTTGGTAGTTATTCAGGCTGAAATGCTAGGCACTTTCCATGATCACATTCTACCTTGCCTTCAATATGATGTGTTCCTGAGAACCAAAACAGTGTGGAGAAATAGCCATTTTGGGAAGATAAAAAAAGGGAAAAGATGCTGCCCCCTGAAAGAGACAAAGCAAGTTTGGGACACAAGTTAAACTTTACAAAAGAAAAATATCTAACAGGGCACCTGCACTGCACAACGAATAGTTTCCAGTTGCCTCTTTTGTTTGTCCACTCCCACCTCAGTGATATCATTGTACGTATTCAACTCAGCCTCCTGCCAAACACACCCACTCTTTACAGAGTAGGATGATGATGATGGGAAACAGCATTTGGAGGGGAAATAAACAGCAGATAATAATCCATAATTGTTTTTAATCTGGAGGATGAGTCACTCCCAATTTAGTTCCAAATTTCTTCTGTCATCAGCTGTTCATTTCTTTACTTTGAAAATCACCAGATTAACACTGCTAATGGCAGGTAGGAAATGATCCAAGAGGACAGTTCAGAAGTATCACATGGTGAGTGGCTGTGAAACTGGGAACAAGACAATCCTCAGGAAAGTCTCTTTTTAATTGCAGCAAACGCTCCAATGTGTGAACCTAATTTACACTTTCATTATTCCAATCAGGTTATTTTTATGTCAGTATAATTTTAGAATAAGATGTGGTGGGGGAATTATTTATTTCCTGGGAAATTCTGTCCATTACTTTGTAAACATGAATTTATTTCAAACCAAAACCAAGAAATTGTATTACTTTCTCCTCGTTTACTTCTTTCATACACCTTTTTAATGCCTAAATCTTCCATCTGTACTAGAAATTGAAACGTAGCATCATGTACTAAGAATTCAAAATTAACACATTCTGGCATCATCATAAGAAATGTCATCTATTTCGATGGAAATGGTCTAAGCCTGGATAAGTAAATGATTATCAATCAGAGTCTTTAGATCTCTTATACTGGGTAATATTGCTATTTTACCATATTAAGTGTCTTACCCATATTTTACTTATAAGTGTCATTCTTAAGCAGACTGAATTTTTTTAACTCATTTATTCTCTAGCGCCTACTCTGGGTTACAAAGGAGTCCAGATGTTTCCCTTAGAAACCAAGTTCAAATCACATTCCACTTACTGTACACAGGCTAAAAATGGAAGTTTCAGACTATTCTTCACATTCTCTGAAAAACACAGCACTTCAAACTTCAATTAGCAGCTGCTCACTCTGGTCAGAACCACACCTGAATTTAAACTTATATTCCACATTTTGCCTCAGAGTACTCCTACACAGGCAGCAAAGTACAAAAACAAAAATTTCATCACATATTCAAGAAATATAGATATTATTTTCCTGTGAAAGCTCCAAATAATTGAAATAGCAACACTAAAGTGTTTTAACTGTATGCCATTTTCTCTTTCACTTAATTTTGAAGGCACTGTCTTAAATGCTTCAAATAAATGGTGTTCAACCAGAGTTCACTGAGTAGTAGGGAATGGTAGTCTTAGTTTGGGTTTAGTTAATAAATTTGCAAATTAATTTAGATCCTGTTGACTTAGCTCCAGGCCTCCTAAAACACAGATTAAATGTCAGTTTATGACAAGGGTCCCCACACTCGGTCAAACTAGATGATGGAGCTGCATAGGTAGTGGGGAGGGGAAAGTATGTCATAATTTTGGGAAAGTCCACCTCTTCCCCTTAGCTAAAATGAGTGAGCATCAGCTCCTGGCGGATTCTATCAGCCTCTAAATCCAGGGACTCCATGTGTTCATACTCTTCCTCAGGGGGCTGTTCCATGGGTCCTGTCAGTGGGGAGGACCAAATGTCCATCCCATGCTCCAGAGAGATGTTGTGGAGGACACAACAAGCCAGGATGATGTGGCTGGACTTTTCCGGTGAGTACTGCAAGGCTCCCTTGGATCCATCTAGACAGCGGAATCGGGAACAGAGGGTGCGGAAAGTTTTCTCAATCACACTGTGAGTAGCAGAATGGGCCATGTTATAGCGATATTCAGCTGGAGTTTCAGGAATGTGAAGTGGTGTCATGAGCCAGGTGCGGAGAAAGAAGGCACTGTCACCTGTGGGAAAAGCCCAAAGAAATAAGAAATGATTATCATTAGTAAAATACAAACAAGGCAGAGAAATCCAAGAACAGATACTGGGAACAGATAAGAGATTAAGAAGCACTTGCAATCTCACTTGCCTGACACCAAACTGTTTGTTGTTGATTGCCTTCGAGTAGAGCAGGACTCATAGCGACCCTGAAGCCCCTCTACAACTATCAACATTTATCAAAGTTCATAGAGTTTCCAGAGGCATGTGGTTTAGGAAGTGGATACCACTCCTGCTTCCAAACCTTTCTTAAACTAGGACCTCCGCCAGACACTGTCCACCATGGGCAACCACTATGGCACCTGACACCCCAATGGCACAAGGTTCAGCATTACAGCAACCCCAGGTTATCTCTGTATAGCATATTGACAGAAGAGTGCTGTACCACTAAGAAAAATATTTCTCCAAAATATAGTAAGAAAGTATGCCAGTGTCTAGGAACAAAAAGTCTTGACAAAGAACATTCTTGGTCTAAACTGATAGTTGTTGTTGCTGTTAGGTGCCGTTGAGTTGTAGACAACTCATAGCGACCCTATGAACGAAAGGCCTGAGCACTATTTGTAGAGCTTCCAGAGGCAAGTGATTTCATAAGTGGATGCCACTCCTGTTTCCAAGCATGTTTTAATTGGGAAGCACCACCAAACACAGTCTACCATGGGATGAGTTATCAGTGTCACAGTGTTTAGCATCACAGCAACCACTAATTACCTCTGTGCAGCAATGCACAGACCAGTGCTATACGAACTGATACAGAAAAAAGCTGACAGCTACTAAAGAAAATCAAGTCTGAAGGAATATAGTAAAGAGGTAAAGATACTAGAGGGGAAAAAATTTTGAGTTTTCTCAACTAAGAATTAATGTTCTTAAAACAAGGCTAAGTAAAAACTATCACTTAGCAAGTCCATCTTCAAAATCTCTAAGGAACCAGAGCAAGGAAACTCTGCCAGAAGACCTCAAAAATACTTGTGGGGAAATTTTCTAACTTTATCACTAAAATTTTAGGTCTGAAAGTACTATGCAGACTAGAAGGCAGTTTGGTGCTTCCTCAAAAAGCTGAATATAGAAATCCCATATGACCCAGCTATTCCACTGCTTGGAATATGCCCTGAGAAATGAGAACTAAGGCACAGAGACTTGTATACCAATGTTCACAGCAGCGTTATTCATCATAGCAAGAACATGCAAACAGCCCAAATGCACAACCACAATGGAATGGATTGAGACACTGTGGTACATTCACACAATAAAATACTATGCAGCACACAGGAGCAAAGATTTTGTAAATTGCTACCTAACATGGAAGGGACTGGAGAGCATTATGCTAAGTGAACTAAATCAGTCCTATAAGGACAAATACTGTATGAGACCATTATTGTAGAATGAGTATGAGGATGGGGGGTTTTAATCATAGGGTGACACAATTTGACAGGTGGAGGGAGGGATGAGTAAAAGAAAGAGGAAAGATGCAGTGTGAAAAACAATGTATACAAATTTTATGAACTTCATATATAAACCAGTATTAAAAAAAAAGTACTATGCAGAGACTTTAGAGTCCTTTATGACAATAATAATTTCTTTTCCCAATGCTAAGAATAATGAAAAAAAGTTTCAGTACCTATGGCAGGGGTCAGATGTCAGGTGTTGTGCCTTTCTGGATAGCACACTAACAAACCTTTATGTCTATAATAGAGGAATTGAGAGAATCTCACACTAACAAAGAAAGCATAAATACAGTAATGCCAATAGTAACAGTGAGTCAGAAGGAAATAAAATCAGAAGTTGATTAAATAATATACACAAGGCATTTCTTTAAGTAATTTCCTTATCAAATTATCTTGGGAAGTGCTAAAACACACACACATGTGCGCGCGCACATCCCAAAGTAGGGTGCAGTGTCCTAATACAGCACTACGATGTGCTATAATGCTTAATTGTTATGACTCATTACATCTGCCAGATGAAATGTCTCACACAGACACATAACCTTTATGCAATCTGAGACAAGCAAGCCTTAGGAGTACCAACTTCACAACTGCTGTGCCTGTGATCCACTATCTATTTTGGTGAATATAGAATATTCAGAGTGTGCTAGGCACTGTTCTAAACATAGAGGGCTCTGTCTTTTAGGAGCTTTCATTTTTAAGTGGATTGGATTAACCTTCACCATCCATCTAAGAACTCAACGAAATTTACAAGTTTTATATTTAGCTATTTAGACCCTCCACCAAAAGACAATATATACTAATTACCATTAATCCTTCTAATTACCGAATTTTAAGAAACATCTGTAATTCATTGAACATCTACTATGTAGCAGGTACTATGCCAGACACTGTAAAAAATACTACTTCTTCACTATTCTCATTCTAACCTTAGGGAGTTCCTGTGACGCAATCTGCATTAACAATCCAAAGGCTGCATGTTTTTGATGGTTAGCATCTACCAATAGCTCCATGGGAGAAAGACAAGCAGTCTCCTTGCGTTATGACTTATAGTCTTGGAAGACAGATGGAGGGTCCCTACGAGCAGGTACTCAATCCACAGCAGTGAGCGTGAATTTTTTTTAGTATCCCAACTTGGCAAGGTTAAATATTAGTGATCTTATTTTGCAAATGAGACTCAAAACTAAAAATCATTGCTATCTAATTAGAACTGAATCCTAGCTAACCCGCTCAAAGGGTTTCCAGAGGCTATAAATCACACAGGAGGAGAATTCCCAGCTCTCTTCTGTGGAGCAGCTGGTGGATTTGAACTGCCTGCCTTTGGTTTGGCAGTGCAAGTAGGATACCAAAGCCATTTAGAGCACCAGTTAAAAATGGATGTTAAAGTTCTTTCCTTGAAGAGAGGTGCCACTTATGGGAGGCAAATAAGAAGATGAAAAGACCTATCAGCCATTCCTTAATAAATCAAGCTATTTTATAATAAAGAAGGAGCTAGTTAGGATATGCTAATGTCAGCCTCAGAGTCCCTAAAACAATGGTACAATGATAAAAGAGAATAGGATACACATTCAACATGAATGACAAAACTAAGAGAAGTTAAATAATATTGGCTAAAATTTCTTCACATGAGACATACATGGACTAGTTAATGTAAATCTTTCGTAAATTGTTCTGTCAACATTAACTGGTATAATCAAAGCACTAGTGGAAGGCAGATACTCACGAGGGGATTAGGATCAGAATTGCTAAACAGATTACAACTGCTTACATGATCAGTCATCCAGAAGACATTCTGGCAGATCTTACCTAAAGCTGCTTAACAGGACTAGACCAAGAGGTGAAGAAATAAGAACTCAGGCTGAACTGTCGGCAGGTGCAGGAATATTGAGAGACAGAGAATTAGGCAATGCAGTCTGAAGGGACAGATGAGAATGAGGATAAGAAGGGATGATAGCCTAGGTGAAAATAAGTTAAATAAATAAGGCAGAATCACAGCTAATCTAATGTTGGCTTCTCCTCCACCCTACTGACAAATCCAAGGGTGTTCTTTAGATACTTAGCTATTTTTAAAAAAAAATTTATTTTATTAATTTTAATGAACATTTACAGAGATTTGGGGTTTCCATTCATTCACTGCTGCACTGGTACTTCACTATTTTTAAAAATCCTTCCTCATACTTCTGCCAGCTTTCCTCCATATTATTCCAATAGCCACATGTTCTCTACAAACTAGTGTTTTTCAAACGTGTCTAGCTTTTTATGTGCTGTTGAGTTGGAGGCAACTCAGAGGTGACTCTCCAGTGCGTTTTCAGTGGCAGTAAATCACGTGGGAAGAGACTGGCTATCTCTCTCCGATGGAGCAGCTGGTGGATTTGAATCGCCTGCCTTTAGGTTGATAGCACAATTCTTTATTCAGTAAGCCACTAGAGTCATTTGGAACCACCTGTTTAAAATGGAGGTATATGTTCTTTCCTTGAAGATTCTCATTCTTTAGGTTGAGTTGTTGTTGTGTGCTGTCAAATCAAGATAAACTCAGAGCTGACTCTCTCTCCAGTAGAAGAGGCAGTAAATTGCACAGAAAGAGACTTCTCATCCTTCTCCCACAGAGCAGCTGGTGGATTCAAACTGTGTGCCTTTGGAATAGTAGCACAGTTTTTTACCAGTAGGTCACCAGAACTATCGAGGTTGAGTGGGGCCCTGTAATGCAAATTAATATATTCCTCAGATGATTCCTTTGGTCTGCAAAGTTTGTGGAACATTATACTAACTAAAGGATTTTCAAACTAGTTTTTCCTTTATAGTTCATACAAGGGGTTTGTGCTAGAATTGACAGTACCAAGTGAATAAATTTCTACATGTACATGGAAGTTGATCTTTCTTATCATATTTAGAGCCTAGCATATGATCTTGTATAAAAACAGAAATCAATAATCAATTTTTAAATGGTATTGCAATATTAACCTATTTCCACTTTCTTCTAGCCTCTAAGACAATCATACAATAATATCTCAAAAGTTTTTACTTGTTTTCAACTAGATCTTATTAACAATTCAACAAACTCATTTAAAGCCCTGCTTCCATGTGAATCTGGGGTACAGAGGTGTGGAGAAAAAGAAAATAAGTGATCCCTACAAGAACTTCAAGTCCTTAACAAAAAGTGTATTTGCTAAATAATTACTCTTATGAGCTACTTAAAAAAAAATTCTATTTCAGTTTGCTTACCTAAAAAGTGGGACTAATATCTCATAAATAGGTGAAGTTAGGATTAAATGAGACAATGGATATAAAAGTCTTAGCAGTTGAGGAAATGGTAGTGTTATCATAATTATCAAGCCACACAGTAAGCTCTGCCTTTCAATGATGCCTTCCCAATTGTACTCATCTTTTTTTCTTTTTCCTTCATAAGTTATATTACCTACCAGCTGACACGAGTATTTTCATGTCATGTTTCTCTGTATTGTTCCACAGGTGCTTTACATTTAATATAAATATATATTACATTTCTTTCTCTACATAGGGAGCTCTGGTGGTCTGCTGGTAAGAAGCTGCACTGCAATCTTTTTTTCCCCACTACAATCATGATGGTAGACAACAACATACTTACATACAGACATATTCTTTAATAAAGTCGGTGGGCTTAAGCTTAGTAGAGATTTTTAGGATGGCACAGGATGGCGTAAAGTTTCAACCTGCTGATCTGATCACAGCATTGCTATGAATCCTACTTGACTTGATGGCATCTAACAACAAAACAAGTAATAAATCATGTTTTCTGCTAGGCGAGACAGATCACAAGGGAGTTTTGATGACCTAATGATAAGGGTTCATTGCCGACTCAAAGGCACATGGTTTGAATACATCAGCGGCTCTGTGGGAGAAAGATGGGCAGTCTCCTCCTGTGCTGTTTACTGCCTCTGAAAACCCACAGGAGGGTCAGCTATGAGACAGCTCCAGGGTTCCAACTCAACAGTACCTAACAAAAACAAGGCAGATCACACTTTTTTTGGTGAGTAATTGAGGTTTTTATATTAAAAAAATTTTATATGAGTTTGGTTCTGTCTTTTGTTTGGTAGATGTCTTGGATAACCCATTCAAAGGAGATCACTTGGTTTGACTTGATGAAGTCTGGCAAAACACTGGCAGTTCTACTTCCACGTGAATCAGGGGTACTAAAGTGTGGAGTAAAGAGACCCTCATTCTAACCAGATTGTTCCTGTCTGGAAGTAAACCTAGCCAAATTTCAGTTTTCTCTCGAGTGGTTTTCTTAAAGCTGCTGGTTATATATTTTACCTTGAAGGGCACACCAAAGCAAAGTACAAGTGCTCTTATTTATGACTGTTGTTCTTAAGTTGTAATTTAAAATATTCAGACTGTTTTGTTTTGGAAATGAAGGGCAGGAGAACCTGGACTTACAAAGAGCAAAGGCTAGCTAAACTCAGGTATCACTTAACTGCAGGACTTCTCAGAGGACTCCCCTTGTCAGCTTCCCTGGCCCTAAGCCCATGGCAGAGCCTCACCTAAATGCTCAGACTTCTAGAGAAACCCCATTCCTCAAGGAATCATTCTGCGACTGGTCAGATAATCATTTTAAGAGAACGCTATTTTTAGATATACTTTAACACTGTATTTTTCTGATGTTTGTTTCTATTTTTACTTAATAAATCCAGAGAGGCCCTGTACATTCAAACTAATCTACCAGGATTTCATCAGCTTGAGATAATTTTATTTCCCAGTATTTGCAACCCAAAGCAATACTTGGTTATCAAAATAAGTTCTTAAAAAAATCAGGCAAGTCAAATAACTGTAGAACTATCCAACTGAGGTGTAAGTTGAAAGAAGTTACCCTAGAGGACGGGATATGCTTATTTCCACTCACTTCAGGAAAGTACATGAACTTCATAGAGAAATCGTTACAGACCTAATATTACATCTGTAAAATCATAAGCAGACTGAAACTAGCAAGACTAACTTGATACTTAGAAAAAGGAAGTTTCTTGAGAGGTACTCTAATCCACGGCCACTACACTCTTGAGAAACATTCAGGAAACAAGCTCAATATTTAATTTGCAAGCATAGCACAATGATAAATTTTGGCTCCACTGTGAACAAGCTGAATAATCTTTCGCATGTAACTTAAAATTAACACCTCCACTTCCTCTTCTGTAAAAATGTTGATCATATTAGTACTTAACTCTTAAAGAGTTTTGGTAAGGATTAAATGAGATAATTCGTGTGAAAAGTTCTTCTAACAGGACCTAGAAGATTCTAAATGTTTATTAACTGTTAGTTGGCCTTACTGTTAAGGCACAAAGTAAAGATATAAATAAAAGGTCCCCTTAGTCTCCAAAACTGCAGAAGTAGCAGCTACATAAGACAATTGCAAAACATCATTTCCTTACGTCTTAGATTAGCAATGCAACAGACCAGGCCATCAGAGCTTCCTTTGCTTTATTTCTTAGTAAGAGCTGTGTGAGGATGGAATAAAAAAATAGACAAAGTGAGCATAAAACGGGATTTAAATGGAGATCTAAAAGCATAGAGAAAAGCTGGTGTGAAAAAAAAAAAGCTGGTGTGGGCCAAATAGGAAAGCAAGTCTGATACCAGTGTCTATGTTTTGACACTATGATGATGTATAGAAACCACTCAAGAAAATCAGTTTCAAGATATTGCATGTGGCAGCTCTAGCAAATCACTTGGAGGGCACTCTCTTTGGAATAGGCAAGATTTCTTCATAATGAGTCTAGAAATATGCAAGAGAAAAAGAAATGTTCCCTGACTCTTGTTGTTATGTGTTGTCGAGTCAGAACCTGGTCATAGCTGAACCTCCAAAGGGCTTTCAGAGACTGTATAGCAGATGGAAGGAGACTGCCCATCTTTCTCCCTCAGAGCAGGTAGTGGATTCAAACTACCTGCTTTCAGGTTGGCAGCACAACTCCTTACCATTAATCTGCCAAAGCTCCCTTCTTGAGAGTCCACCACATGTTAAATATTGCACTATGGGCAAGTGAAGTACAAAAGTGAATACTTGTTCTAAAAGAGAAGTCTTCAATCCTTAATGAATTGTCTCATTTCTCACATCATGTTGTACACAAGATAACCGTTAATGTCTGGTTGCTCAGATAAGATTCAAAACCAAAAACCTATTGCCATCAGGTGGATTCCCACTTATAGCAATCCTACAGAACAGAGTTGAAATGCTCTATAAGGTTCCCAAAGCTGTAAATCTAAAACAGATGCAGAATATCAACTCTCTCTCTCTCTTGGAGTGGCTGGCAGTTTGAACAATTGACTTTTTCTTTAGAAGACTAGTGCTTTAGCTGCTATTATGTCACCAGGGCTCCTATCACATAAAATTAATGTTTTTAAAACATACACACATGCAAACCAAAAACAAACAACTAAGCTGCCTGTGTTTTATCACAGCTACCTAGCTATATTAATTAATATTAGCTATATTAATTAACTACATTACCAATAGGTGGAAGCAGGATTGGGATCCACTTCCTAAGCAACATGTCTCTGCAAACTCTATGAACTTTGGTAAATGTTGACAGTTATAGAAAGTCTTCAGGCCTTTTGTTCATAGGGTCGCTACGAGTTGTGCTTTACTCAAAGGCAATCAACACAACAATCCATAGATGTACAGTCATCTCAACTCACATTGCTCAATACTGAATAGATTCCAGTTCAATACTGAATAGATTCCAGTTACAGGCTTTTAGGTTCTACTTGTACCACTAAGCTAGGATTTCCAGTTTAAGCATACAAACTTATAAACAAATAAACAAACCAAAATCCCCATTTATATGGGACTTGGGCAGATCTATGTAAAGTGAGTTCTTCTAACACTACCTGTATAAGTGCAATGCCTACTAATATTTTCATATAGATCTCAAAATGGAGTTCACCAAAGGTAAAAATGGTCCTATTTGTGTAGTAATTCACTGTGAACTTTCAAATATATATATTATATCACTCTCGCCTCACATACTTTGGGCATGTTGCTAGGAGTGGCTATTTCTTGGAGGAGGACATGATGCTGGGAAGGAAGGATAGAGGGTCGGCGAAGAAGAGGAAGACCCTCAACTAGGTTGACTGATATGGTGACTACTGCAATGGGCTCTTGTGTGTCAGGAAGTGTGAGGATGGCACAGAATGGAACATGGTTCAGATCTTTTGTTTTATAGGGTCACAATGAGTTATACTCGACTCGAAAGCACCTAACAACATCTTCAGACCAGTATTACTACTATGATAATATTTTTACCATTTCTATGATAAAAATGTAGGCACAGAGTTCTAGTGACTCACATGAGCTCTCAAAAAAAGTAAAAAGTAAAAGGACTGCTTTTTTAAGGTTGGAACTGAACTCTGTGCCTCAACTTTCAGCCAAATAATAGGCCTATAAGATGAACAGGGAGGTATACACTTTTTAAAACAGGAAATCATTTGAGATCAAAAGAGCAATATTTACACAAGGACAAAGTTCAGATGTCGTGAAAAGAAACAAAAAAGGGTGAAGGCAAACAGGAAACACAGGAAGTGGGATGAGTGTCATTACCCTGTGAGGATTGTGAACAATGGCATGAAACCAAAATGTTTACAAATTGTTGGAGAGGAAATGGGTTTGCTCTAGAAACTTTCACCCTAATTACAATAAAAAATTTCCCCCCCAAAAAAGTTACAGGATTTGAGATGCAGGTTCAGGCATTGTCAACTGCTATTAAGTCATCCCTCAAATACAGGCTCTCACTTTTTCTTCTATTCTGCTACATACTTTTCCTGTAGCTTGGAAATGAAGCATTTATACCTGTAAACTTACCAAGGAGCCAGCTATCTTTGTGCATTCCAGCTTCAAACTGGGTACAGAGAGAAGACTGCTGAAGCACAGCATAGTCCTGTAGGCTGCCTGGCCAGTTTGTCTCCACAGTCATGAGTGCTCCTCTGAGGTCACACACCATGAGGCAGTTCAAAGAATGCAGGCCTTTACGGTTCACATAGGAAAGGTCTTCAGCATTTGGAGCCTTGATTGCCACATGGATACAGTCAACCACCCCTATCACTCCTGGCATCCCCGTTAGCCCATAAAATTCATCCTTCAGCGCCTGTATGGAGGCTTCATCAGCTGGAAAGTGAATGAACTGCGAGGCCCGTTCCACGAGTGCTTCAGTGACATTGGCTACACAACGACTCATGGAGGCCTGACTGATTCCAATAGCATCTCCCATTCGAGTCTGAAAGGAACCTGAAGTATAGAAGCCCAATGCGGCTAGGATCTGTGTTTCTGGGCTAATAGCTCTGGACCGTTGAGTAGGCCTAGAAAGACTCGCTCCCAAGAGCTCCACCAAATAATAAATAAATTGTCGAGGAAATCCATACATGGACATCAAGTATTCATCGGTCACATCATCCAACTTAAAGCGGTCCAATGTCCGGTGACCTCGGCCATACAGCAAGAGATCACAGTCAAGCACTGTTATGGGGATAGCCATGGTGAATTTGAAAGCTATCTCTCCTTTGTTATTTATACCGAACTCCTCACAATGCAGTGTTTGGCACAAGAGTATTTTTGAAAGAGTCAAGATGCAACAGCTAGTCACGAGTTAAATGGTTCTGGCATTTATAATCTTCTCTCTGTAAAGGTTAAAAAGTAAAACGTTAGAAACTGACCAATGACAGAAAGAAGGGACTCTAACAAAATCTCTTTCCGCACATTTTTATTCTGTTCAAACAGAAGTTGTTTTACCTGTAACACTGGTTTTCCTCCATGAACTCACGGCTTGCTCTGGTTTAAAAGTTAATGAGAGTTCAGTGGCTCATTTAATGTTTGGCATTTCAAATGAGAACAGTAAACGATTAATACTGATAACGGCATAGTTACCCAAAAGGTAAAAAGAAGTCTGCTATCAACTATGCAGGTTACAAAGCAGCTGACTTAAGTGATAACTAAGCAGAGCAAGGATTTAGTCACCAAAAGTTTCATTATGCAAAGCCCTTTGGCTTCAGTTTTACCTAACACATACAGGAAAGACTTGGGGCACGCTCAAGTCAAAAGAGGGTAAAAATGTCCCCGACTCAGCTTGGTGGAGTGGACTGTGTTCTAAAATAACAGGCTTTTCCCTCACCCCTAAGAAATCCAAAACCGTGACGCTGAGTATAGGAAGATCCGATAGGTTAGAAGGAAGTCGCGAAAGAAGTGGCTCGTTGTTTGTTTTTTTTTTCTGGGTCGCCTTAGAAATATCTAACTATCTAAACGGCTCAGATTTAGACAATATCCAAGCGTGCGGCCAAAGTCGGCCAAAGTCCGCCAAAGCCGGTGACCCACCTCTCCGCGGCTGCCTGGTTACCAGCCCGCACTCCCCCGCCCGCCCCAGCTCTATTGGATCCTCCTCCGGAACCGGCGACGGCGCACAGGCCGCCACGGCGCTCAGCTGTCGCACCGCCCTCTCTGCGTCGGCGCCCGCCCCGCGCCCCGTCCTCCCTGCCGCTACCACTGCAGCCTGCGGTTCGCTCTCGCACATTCCACATTTAACGCAAGCGCCCTATCTTTCAGGGACTTCCCCAGGTACACTGTTCTTTTCCCTGAGACACTTGCCATTTGTTTTGTAAGGATTATCTGCGTCAAGATGCAATTTTCTTGGGTACTTCTAAGAACTTAAAAAATACTGCCTAGGGCCACCAGCTGATAGCGAAAGTGCGGTTGATTTAAAGCAGCAAGATTTCCTTAACAGCCCTCTTCCTTCCCCCACCCCCTGCTTCACTGAAGCGGATGAAAACAAACAGTAAGGATGGCGGCGCCGGGAATCAGCAGTTTGCTGGGCTTACGGCTGGAATGATCGCCTGAGCTGTGAAGGGACTCTTAACGACGAGACGGAGACAGTTCCCAGAGTTCTGGGAGCCAAACACACAGGCCTGCGATCCAGGAGTCTCCTAAGCTTGAGGTATCTCTGTGCGACCCGCGCTGTCATCGCAGCCCCGGAGCGCCGAGCCCTTAGCCGGGAGGCGCGGCTGGCCGGCCCCAGACCCGGGCCTCCGTAATGAGAGCCCCGATCCACTCTCTGAGCCGCAGCCTCGCAGGTACTAACTTTAGAAGGAAGACTTCCCTCCCCCTAAACTTTCAGCGCCCCCGGGTGGGAGGCAGTGGCCCTGCGGCCCGTCGCGGACCTCGGCGTAGAACCCTAAACTCAAAGCTGCGTTTCATGCAGCTTTTTCTTTGAGTTCAGGTAGGCCCTCTGTCTATTGATTGTCCCGACTTGCAGAGCTTTCTTCTCTACTTTGTCAGCTCTCTGGTTTGTATCAGAAGACACTTTTTGGAGGTAACTTGTGGGGCCGTCTTTCGAGTTGGGCACTAAATATGAATATAGTAGGTTTTCATTCAGTTAAATATGTAATCCGCGTGTAAGTGAGGATGGTTGTTGACTAGTGGAAGAAGGGACTCGAGGTTCACGACCGTCGCCTTAACTGGCAGTGGGCTGAGCCGTGGAAACCTGCGACCCATTCCCATATTCCATGAAATAGATTTCTGGGTAAGTGGCTAAGCACCTTGGGCTCATCGCAGACTGATTTCCATTGTCACTGTCTCATTCAGTTGGATCCCAGTCAGACTGATCAATTCAAGTGTGGCATTTTATCTTTAGTATTCTCTTGGAGCCTCCCAAATCTCTTCTTCTCTTCCCCCAAAATAGTAAAATATCAATCTTCTCGGCGTACTTAGTTTAAAAATTCTTCAGCCAATTCGGTAGAACTTATTGAACGCTTTACGTGGGGGATAATGCATGAATACTAATGGTAAACAACAGATTCTTCTTGATTATTTCATTAAATTCTAGACTTTTATGTATTTCTTTATAATTTTTCTTATTAATTTTGCTTGTGTATATACCATCAAATCGGATCTGACTGGTACAGGAGGAGATTGTCCCTCCTTCTCCAGCAGAGCATCTGATGGATTCGAACCTTGTAATTATTTTTTTTAATTAATTTTACTGAAAGTGTACAGAGACTTTGGATTTCCATTCATTCATTGTTGCACTAGTTTTTATGTATTTTTTGGTGTTAATCCCTTTCATGTTTGGATATTGAGGCTCCAACTGAATTGTAAGGATTTTTGTGGTTGCTCTTTGTTTTCAACTCTTTTTCAGCTCAGCAGAAACCTTAAAATGTTGGTGGAATGAAAGGATTAAGTCAATGTAATGCACAGTGATGAATAAGTGCTGAAGTGGCATCATATATTGTGGTCTCTAAGAGACCATAAATTAGCTTTTAGCTAATTTATCTAGTGTTTTCAAATTCTAACCCTTTCAGATATAAAGTTAAGAAGGCTCTGGCAACTTTTGAGCTTTAATTTTCATAAAAATTACCAAACCACTGGATTTTCTGTTACTCTACTTTTACCTAATAGTCATTATTGTATATTTGATGTTTTTTCCCCTCCATTAATAGTAATTAAAATTCACGCCACCACTGCCATTGAGTCATTCTGACTCAGAATGACCAGAAACACTGACTTTTCAGTTAGCAGTCCAGCAGTTAATTCACTGTTGCCACCAGAGCTGCTTTTAGTTACCAAACACTACAAAGTTTTGTTTAAGGGTAAAAATCAGCTGAACACAGTGGAGGTGGAGTTCTGCCATACAAGCATACTAGAACTGTAATGCCTGGATGTTAGAGGAAGAAACAAGACACATCCCTTTAATTTTTGCCATAATCTTTCCCCTGTTCCCTTAAGCTCCATTCAAGTATAACCTTCATGTCTCAGGGCCGGGTATCTGTCAATTATTGAAAGATATCTAAGACATTAACTTTTGTACTTTTAAAGACCTAAGACATAATATATGAGTAAATTTAAAGAACAAGTTGTTTTTTGTTTGTTTGTTTGTTTTTTAAAGAACAAGTTTTACTATAAGAGAAAATATACCCACTTTACAATTTATTCCACTCTCTAAGGTGTATTCTCCCCCCCCCAAGGTGTATTCTTAATACACAATTTATATTAGGTAAGTATTAGTTTATCTGGCAGAATTTTTTAAATTTTAATGGTATGTTTTAAAAGCCATAAAACTTCATTGTAAACTATTTCTTCCCTCCTTTTAGAACCCTTCACTATAGAAGAGTTGTAAAATTACATTCATTAGCAAGGTAGCTGTGTGCTATTTACAGAGAATTAAAAAACAAAATATCCCCCAATATGAAGATTTTTTTTTTTTTTTAAATTAGAGTGGCCTCTTCTGATGTTTGGACTATTATATTGCTTGAGAGTTGTTTAGCTTGTGTGGTTGCCTAGCGCATTATGTGTTGTGCTGCTAACTCAAAGGACGATAGTTTGAATCCATCAGTTGCTTCCCAAGAGGAAGACATGCAGTCTCCTGTTTACAGCATGGGAAACCCAATGGAGGTTGCTTTAAGTTGGTATTGACTCAATAACAGTGGTAATGCTGACTTAAGAGTCTTAAAATATGTAAACTTTAGTAAAAGGAGTTTATTCTTGAACAAAGCTTATTTAAAATCTATTTATAGATTAGAAGAGCTACTGATTGGAAATGACTTTCTTGTTTCTTTTCTGTCAAATTGTGGATAAAATTTTTACTAGTAAGTAATTAAAGGACTGGAGCCAAGAAAAATACACAAGAGGATACCAATCTCTGTGAGGGGAGTCAAGAGACCTTTCATAAAAGCTTATGCTTGCCTTTCTACGAAGATGGCACCAAAAGTGAAGATGAAAGCCCCTGCCCCTCCCAAAACTGAAGCCAAAGCAAAGGCATTAAAGGCCAAGAAGGCAGTCCTGAAGGGCATCCACAGCCAAAAGAGAAAAAGATCCGCACGTCACCCACCTTCTGGGGGCCTAAGACACTGAGACTCCGAAAGCAGCCCAAATACCCCCGGAAGAGTTCCCCCAGGAGAAAGAAGCTTGACCACTATGCCATCATCAAATTTCCCCTGACCACTGAGTCAGCTATGAAGAAGATAGAAGATAAAAACACACTTGTGTTCATTGTGGATGTCAAGGCCAGCAAGCACCAAATTAAGCAAGCTGTAAAGAAGCTCTGTGACATTGTTGTGGCCAAGGTCAACACTTTGATTAGGCCTGATGGAGAGAAGAAGGCCTATGTTCTACTTGCTCCTGACTATGATGCTTTGGATGTTGCCAACAAAATTGGGTTCATCTAAACTGAGTCCAGCTGGCTAATTTTAAATATAAATTTTTCACACACACACAAAAGCTTATGCTTTACAGTTTTAGAAGAATTTAAAATTTGTTTTAAATAAACAGTTACTAAACTTTATGAACTTAGAGAAAGGATAATGGTTCTAGAACAAGTTTTTTGTTTATAGAGTCAGTACTAGATGGCACTTATAGTGCCCTTGTCTTCCTTTTTGGACTAGGATGAAGTGGCTGGACTCTGTACCTGTACAATGGGCTCTTGTTTTGGTTTTAGATCTGTGTAGATTGTTTTGTTGTTTTTATTTAAGCCTCTTATTTAGAGTCAACAAGACTTCCTGGTGGGCCTGAGGGTACTGTATTTTGGAGGAACATACTTCTAAATTTTACTTCATTCTGTCAGTTTGCTGTGCTGATGTCATTTGGGTTTGCTGTGACTCTGAACCTTGTACCATTGAGGTCTCAAATGCCATAATGGCTGGTCATTGTGGACAGTGTTGGAGCTCTTAGTTTGAAGACAGGTTTGGAAGCAGGAGTGGCATCCATTTCTTAAACCGCATGCCTCTGAAAACTTGTATGTACTTGGAGAAACAATAGTTACAGAAAGGCCTCAGGTCTTTTGTCCACAGAGTCGTTGTGAGTTGTGCACAAAGGCAATCAACAGTATAAACAGGAATAAGGTAAAACTGGACCTTTCAATAAGAGAAATCCTCTAAAGGCCAGATTAGATTGCATGGGAAATCAGTCTTCTTGTCCTCTTTATGTATTTGCCCAAAAGAGAAGACTGTGGATCACCACTACTTATGACAAGAACTCAGTGGATATGCATGCTTGATTGTCCTTCATAGTTAGTAAAACCCATTGCAGTCAAGAGTCAATTCTGACTCATAAACCTGATAGGACAGAGTAGAAGTATCCTGTAGGGTTTCCAGGGTTGTAAAAGTTTCTCTCTTGGAATGGGTTTAAACTTCCAACTTTGAGGTTAGAAGCTGAGTACTTTTTTTTGTTTGTTTTGTTATTTTTGTGTGCGTGTACCGTCAAATCAGATCTGACTGGTACAGGAGGAGATTGTCCCTCCTTCCCCGGCAGAGCATCTGGTGGATTCGAATCGTTCGCCTCTGGGATTGTAGTTGCAGCTCCTTGCCACTAGGCCACCAGAGCTCCCCAGAAGCTGAGTACTTAACCACTGCACCACCACTGCACTCCTTACTTAGTAAAAGTAAAGAAATTTCTAGAAATAGTTACTTAGTATTACTATTTTTGAAGGTACAGCTTTCCATTTTGATTTACATGGATGTGTAAACAAGTTGTGTAACCATCAAGTCAGAAACTGACTCATAGCTGAGCCTCCAGCAGGCTTTTTTTCAGAGACATTAAATCACAGGAGATGATTTCTCTTCCAGAGCAGTTGGTGGTTTTGAACTGTTTGCTTTTGTGTTTGCAGTGCAACTTTTTACCAATAAGCTGTCAGGATTCCCTGAAACAAATATGTTGTTGCTGTTGAGTACCAGAGTCAGAACTGACCCGTAACTGACCCTCCTGGGTTTTTAGAGACAACAAATAGCACTGGAGGAGATTGCCCATCTTTCTCCTGTGCAGCAGCTGGCACATTCAAACCGTATACTACGTTTGAGTTGACAGCACAATTTCTTACCACAAAGTCACCAGAGCTCCTTTGAGACAGTGTTGTTGTTATGTACCGTCGAGTCGTTTC